TTTATTTATCTTTTATTCATTTAACTTAGAATTTACGGTTTAAAACTACTTTATTTTTATGTTATTTATTCACTTACTTATAAATTGTGTTATTTTGACACTGAAAAATATTGAATATCAATTTAGCACAAAATATTTAAATAACATAATCATATTATGTTAATTTAACAAGCAAATGTTAAAAATTTGATACAAAATTTTAACAAAAACGTGAGTGGACCGTTTTTATCATAAATACAAAAACGTTTTTTACTGTGTATTGCGTAATATCATAAAATGGACACTAAATTAAAATTATTCTTTTATATGTTTTTAGTTGTATAGCGAACGTTGTTGTGAAAGATAAAGTCTTCTGTTGGAAAATACCAGATGCATGGTCATTCGAGAAGGCGGCGACGGTTCCATGCGTTTACAGCACAGTTTATTTAGCCCTATATATTTTTGGAAAAATGAAGAAAGGTGATAAAATACTTATACATTCTGGTTCTGGCGGTGTTGATCAAGCAGCTATTCATCTCGCTCTCAAAAAAGAATGCGAGGTGTTCACTACCGTGGGCACGAGTGACAAACGAAACTTTATTAAGCAAATGTTTCCGACTATTTTGGATGAACATATTGGAAATTCTCAAGATACTAGTTTTGAACAAATGATAATGCAACAAACGAAAGATCGTGGTGTCGACATAGTCTTAAATTCGTTGGCTGAAGAAAAGTTAATCGCCTCCGTTGTTTGGCACGAAATGGTCGTTTCTTGAAGCTTGGCAAATTGGATTTAGTTTCAAACAATCCCGTAAATATGTCTGCGTTTCAAAAGGGTATTTCCTTTTATGGAGTTCTACTCGATAATATGTGCATTAGGAATCACAAATATAAATCCCTAATATCAAGAATGGTAACTGATGGTATTAATAATGGAATTGTCAAACCACTTCAAGTAAAAATTTTTCCGCACACTGATACCGAAGGAGCTGTTAGGTATATGTCAAGTGGAAAACATGTAGGAAAGGTATGCTTCAACTCATTGACGGCTGCAGAAAAAATTGTTCATAAATGAGAATCTTTTCACAGAAAGAAAAATTTTGCTAAATTCATATCTGAAAATAACGTTTGTTCAACAATCAATATAATTTTGTACGAAAGTCAAAATGATTGCTCGAATATCAAAACGTCATATATAGCAATGCTTATCAGTTTTAACATTTCAACAAATTATTGTGACGATTTAACAAAAAATTATTTTTAGATCTGTATTCAGCAAAATTGTTCTTTCCCTGTTTTTATTAAAAGATTTATAAAATAAATTTATAAATATTTTATTTATAAATAAGCCTTATACATATAATGTGCATTTTTAATATATCTTTTTATTAAAATTACATTTACTGGCTCGTGTTTAAATAACAAGTAATTTATTTTATTGATATTTTTTTATTTATTTATTTATATGTTAATTTATTTCAACTAAAGAAGACTGTGCAGTCGAAACGTTTTGACGTTAAATTTCCTTTAAAATTTTATATTATCATGTTCTAGTCGTTTTACGTCATATCTTGCTCGTTCCTTGGCCGAGTTTAAATTTCTTAATTGATTTTTATATTTATAGATAATTATAAATATCCAGGAAGAAGGTAAACCTTTGGGCAATCACATTCTCGCCTATCGTCGCTATTATTGTCTCAAAGACAGGAGTTATATTATACTAGGTGGATTGGGTGGATTTGGCTTGGAGTTAACTGACTGGCTAATATTTCGAGGCGCTAGAAACGTCGTGCTAGTTTCACGTACTGGAATGAAAAATGGTTACCAGCGCATGAAGGTTCGACTATGGAAATCGTACGGTGTAAATGTGCTGATTATCAAGGACATTGATGTCGCTGACACTCAGGATTGCAAATATCTCTTGCGAACCGCGGAAAGAGAAGGACCAGTGGACGCGATATTTAATCTTGGTGTTGTATTGAAAGACAGTGTTCTAAAGAATCAAACTGCTGAAACTTTTGCGGAGTCTTTCCAATCAAAGGCTCGAGCAACTCAAACATTGGATAAACTTACCAGAGAGATCTGTTCTAAATTACGGCATTTCGTAGTATTCTCTTCCGTTTCCTGCGGCAGAGGAAATGCCGGACAAACTAATTATGGCATGGCCAACTCCGTCATGGAGAGGGTGTGCGAGAAAAGAGCGGAGGAAGGATTACCTGGATTGGCAATTCAGTGGGGAGCCGTGGGCGATGTTGGTCTCGTGGCAGACATGCAAGAAGAAGATAAAGAATTGATTATCGGTGGCACTTTGCAACAAAAAATATCCTGCTGTCTCGACGAACTCGAAAAATTTTTGCCTCAAAGCCAACCAGTTGTGAGCAGCATGGTCGTGGCTGAAAAGAAAGCGGGATCTTCCGGACTTGATAGTATGGTGGAAACTGTTGCTAATATTTTAGGTAGTTACGCTCATGTAGAAACATTTTTTTGTACTTATGCATATAATCATGAATTTCATTATCCGCACAGTTATATGTTGTTACATAATTTAAATCGTATTATGACAATTACATGTCTTAAGGAAAAAGGGGGCAAATAGTAATGGATTTTTTTCTCTCTCCCCTACAAGCTAATTTCAAGATTACAAGATATAATTTTTCACCAAAAGAGTACTTTTCAAATATACAAAAAACTTAATTAGAGTTTCCATAAGTCATGTATACTGGTTATATTTTCATAAAAAATGTAACCTACATTTATCACTGTTTGCCCCACCCTATATGGATAAATAGTGACACTCTATGAGACAATTACAAAATACATAATTCTTTACTCCTAATCGATCTTTCTTTTAACATTTTGATTAGATAAGATAATTTATATTAATTTCTATGCTCTGCAATATGTAAATTTTCATTTATTGATCAATAATAGTAGTAAAATTATTTCCCTCGTAAAAAAGAACTATTAATGCAGTGATAACACTACATTTCAGTAGTGTTATCACTG